CTTCGTGGAAAATACTCAGTCATTATCAATAAAAATCAGCACAATTATTCCCTTATGTTAAAAAATAGTGGCTTGTTTTTTTTTAAGTAGGTCAGTTAAAAGATGACTAAATAAATGGATTTCTTACACATGCTACTTCTGGAATCAAGTAAAGATAAACAAAGAGGATGATTTCTAGTTCCAATAGCAGTGCTCTGAGGTAGGCAGCCCTCAGTCAGCAATTCCTTACATAATGTAGTGTGAGCTCAAAAGCAAAAGACAATTCTCTGGTGTGTTTATTGATATGATTTAGGAAGTGGTCAGTATAATTTCAACCTCTTTGATATTTTAAATGTTAAAGTGGTACATTATAAGACGTGGGTAAACCAATGTTTCAAAAACACTATGTGGTTTTATCAATATTTCCTGAATAGCGTCTTGGATGTTACAGAAAACCTTTCCAGAAAAAAAAATCAAGAGCTTTGTAAGAAAAAGAAATTCATGTAGTTTCCACCATTTGTTTGAAACTGGATAATACTTAAAAGTGATTACTCCCTTTTTTGGTTTGTTTTTAAGTCTCCAGTTCTGTGTTTTCTCTCATCAGGCAATCTTTAAGACCCTAGTTTTCACAATCATCAATTACAGCACAGACAAGTTTGGACTTAGCATAAGAAAGAGATGGCTGAGAAAGTAGCTATACAACCCAGCTATCCCTAGAAAAATGGAAAACTGGGGATACTGAGCTGCTCCCTGGAAGAATGAGGGACTTTTAAGGGGCTTATACTACCTTCTAGCCTCTTCTTTGGGCCCTTTTCTTTTCCAAAGAGAAAAACACTTCTAGTTTTTCATAAAACTAGAAAAAACAGGTATAGCTTTTCATTTTGCTTAAAATATTAAAAAGTTTCTAATAAAAAGATGTCAATTTGTAGTTATGATTTCTCAGGCTAGCAAACTGGTTCACTCTCAACCAACCCCAGGACTTGTGTTTATCCATTACAGAATCAGAGACGATGTACGAATAAAATGTGCTGCCCAAAGGCGGCACCAGACTGAAGACTCTGAAACATTTTTTTTGCCTTTTGGATCTAAAATTCCACCTAGGTATCCTAAAAAATAGTTGTCTTCTTGCAGGCATTTAACCTCCATACGCAACTTTACTGCTTCCTACACTTAATTTACATAAATAATTAAAATTCAAATAAGGGAAAATGTCTTAATAATGTTCCAAACACAGATCTAGTTAGCAAGCCCCTGACGCAGGGGATGTGCAGGTCATGTTTGTTACACCGCATAGTTCTCAAGCCCCCTTCATGATAACATTTTGATACCACTAGGTAAAAATGTATCTAACCTTAACTGTGGTCAACAACAATATATTCCATATTTCAAGATAGCTAGTAGAGAGGAGTCTGAGTACTCCCAACTTGAAGATATGATGAATATCTGAACTGATACATAAGCCTACTCCGTGTTGTATGCAGGTAGTGGATGTCACACTGTAACCCATAAGTACGTACAGTTACTGGGGGGTCATCAAAAATAAAAATATTTTTTAAAAATTTATCCACAAATTCCTATTGCCTTTATACTTTTGACCTTTACAGATATGTATAGTACTGTTCTTTGTCTTTACTTAGAATTATTTTAACTCCCTTTATTTGCCTAAAAATGAATTTAACCCATCTTTAACCTTAAAACTAAAGAGAGGAATTTCCTACTTCTATTTTGAAATAGCTGCAAAGTTTGCCTATCCATCCCACTCAGTGCCCTGTTTTGTTTTATAGACTTTGAGTCACTAGTAACAATTTGCAATGAGAGTGAACTAAATAAGGAAAACAAAAATCCAATCTCAAGAGGTACATAATAACAGCAAATGGGCTACAGTTGACACTTTAGGGCACGGAATAGAGCACTGTTATTCTGAAATTGCAGATGAGGACTTTGGAACTTTATTAAGAAATCCTCAGCTTTAAAAGCTACAGCCAAATTCTGCCATATTTCTTTCTCCTTTGTTCTGCACCATCAAAAAGTTCTCTGATGGGTTTTAATGGCTAAGATTTGAGTTCATTAGCTTCCCAATGGACAAAAAAATATGCCTGATGTTTTCTTTGTGTACCCCCTCCTGTGGTGTGTGTGTGTGCGTGCGTGTGTGTGTGAGTGTGCGCATTTCTGCTTTTCTCTGTTTCTCCCTTATGCTTCTTATGTCTGTGACAGAGAAAGACAGTGACTTTGCCTCCTCTGTCTCGGTGTCTGAATGGATGCTTGGCCATCTGTGTGTCTGCATGCTTGTGGGGCTTCTGTGCCTCTTCATATATATTTCTATCTTTGACAAGATCCGATCTTCTGATAAGTACCCAAATGATGGTTTATCAGAAAGAAAAGATTTGTCTGTGATACAGTCAAAATACCACACCATTCTCTTTCCTGAGGCCGTAAACAGATCGGGGGTGCTGGCTCCTTCGCCTTCTCTTCTCACTAAAGCTCTACCAACATTTCCGTTCCAATGTTGTTGAGTTAATGATTAATGAAGTCTTCAGCGTGACAAACCTGATCCATCTATGAGAATCCTGAAGGGAATTTTCTCTATTACTCTCAATTAAACAATCTTTCAGGGTGAATTTTTCAATTTCCCTGCCAAATCATACAGAAATGACAAGTGAGGGATAGTCTCACACGAATATGTAGATCAATTTCATGCATCATTCTCAGTTTCTGAGGGACTTCCTGTGGAAAAAGCACTGAGGCCATTCGGTCCTTATTATGTACAGACGTGTATATATCTTCAAATATGCCTTTCAAACAAACCCAGGGAGTTTTAAGCAGTGCTATTCCAAGTTCATCAGGGACAATTACAGGTAGAATTTTCAAATGCCAAAACAGATCAATTTTTTCCTCACACTGGGAGTTATCCATGGAAAGAAACACTGAAACCAATGAAACAGTTATGAATTTGAAGAGCACAAAAGATAAAACAGGCACTCAGCTGGATGGTAGATGTACAATGCGAGCAACCGAAGCAAGTATTTCCAGGCCACATGAGGTAAATCTTAATTTCGAGCTACCTCTGCAATAAAACATATTCTAAAAGCAAGCTCATCATTCCAGTCTGTGTAAGAAGTTTCAACCAAAGATGCTATATTATACACTTGCACCGGGGAGTTCTTAGTACCTCCCTCTTTACCAAACAGAGCTGCAGACGCCTGTGGGCTTTATTTCGAAGCCCTTTTGTGGAAAGTCCTCTCAGTGCATGGAGTTGAAAAAACCAAGAGGATGAGAAACCTGAAGTAAGACTCATCTCTCTTAAATAGCCGGTTCCAATAACTTTTAAATTCTGCCACGATTAACTGTCTTAACAATAATATTCTCTTGTGTTCTAGATCTATGCATGATATCAGTACAAGAAGGTACTGAAATAGCTACCAATATGAATTTATATTTTATATCATGAAAATTAAAAACTATGAAGTCACACTGGAATGGCTAATAATATTACAGGTATTAAAATGAATGCCAGATCAGACCTCATTAGCTATTTTTTCCAATCTAAATATAACAGTGCAGCTTCAGGTTTGTTTAACATCAGGCATTAACCAAAGGGAAAGAAATAATGTCACAAACTCCAAATTAAAACCATATACCTAGACAGAGACTTAGGAAAAACACTTCAGGATGCTCAAATACATAGAGCCCCAAACTAAGGGGAAATATTTGCAAAGTTCGTTTTAAAGGAGATCCTGATAGAAGATTCAGTATAATCTAATCTACCAACTCAGAGAAAGCATCGTTGAACAGTGTTTGACTGTTTATTATCCTGCGAGTATGCTTCTGTCTTGCCTACCAGGCAGGAGTTTCCTGAAAACAGTGTAAGTGTCTTAATCACTTTTTTATTCAAACGACCCACGGAGTATGTGCAGTATCAGGCACCCAAGTAAATGTTTCAATGAATCCAAAAGAAATTATGGAACTGCATAGAGTTTCCACCGAGTTCGAACGTCTACTGTATTCTATATGCAGAACTGTCTATTCTAGCTCTCCGAGCCAAGGACCTCCCAATAAAATAACCGGCCTCTGAAGGAAAAAACTTTAAATGATACTCAACATATCTCGTTTATGAAGCTGAAATGTGAATAAAAGAAAAGTAAGTAGAAGATACAGATTTCAGTAAAATGTTTGCACAGTCTTACACATGAAATATATGGCCATTTCCATCCAGAATATATTGTTGGAAAACACATGTATAAGTGAATGGTATTTTAAAGACACTTCATAGCAAGAAACTTAATACCAGTAGCAAAGTAGAATGCTATTTTTTAGTTCTTTCTATGGTTACATTAAAAGCACAGTAGCTACTGCTTCACTTCTACGCTTCTGCTGTGTAAACCAAATGAAAAATATCATATAGACCAGTGTACAGTGAGAAAAAATAAAAAACCAGAAACTTTAAACACAAATTTGGTCCTAAAAATTTCTTTCCCATTTCTCAAGTACTGGGCCTCTTTTTTAAGTTCGACTGCAACTACTCTCCTTCACACAGGCACCTTTCAGCTGCACCCACGGGAGCAAAAAAATAACCCTTCCGGAGATTTAAATCTGATTAAGTAGCCCCTTCTGCAGCCATCCCCAATTTGAATCTTTCCTCTGAGATCAACTTAAGAATTTGGTCAGCCCCCGCAGCCTACTTAAAGAAGAATGTGGACAAAGGATGAACAGGAAAGATATCCCTCATCAAAGCGAAATCCCAGTCTGCTCGCTGGACACCCCATCCTCTACCCACCCCCTCCCCGGCTGCGGTGCCGGCCCTGGACAGGTGGGAGGGGGCGAGTCGGCAAGGAGATTCAACCAACTTTCTTCCACCAGCTCCTTCTACCCCCTACCCCAACTGAGTCTGGCTTCGGGCTAAAACCACCGGGTAAAGCAGCCTTGCACCCCCTGCCCCCTTGGGACGGGGATGGGATAGGGTGGGTGGGGGCGCGCGTGGGCGGGGTGCAGGTGGGGGTGTGCCGAACTGCAACTCTCCTTACCGCTGGAGCGCCTGACGATGTTCTCCAAAAATGTGTTCTGCGGTGCCACCAGCCCTCTCTTGCCCCCCGGCATCCTGGGTCTGACGAGCAGCGGCCAGGATCCGCGGCGGGGGAGGGGGGGAAGCAGGAAGAGAAGGTGCAGGAAGAGGAGGAAAAGGTGGAAGAGACCGAGCCGAAAGAAGAGGGGGCGCGGCGGCGGCGGCGGGGTCCCCTGACTGTGTCTCCAGCCCGACCCGGATGAGCAGCTCTGGGGAGGAGCACCAGGCAGTTCATGGTAGTAGCGCTCCCCCGGCCGCCGCTGCCCAGACTGTGGCAGTGCCGCCCGCGGGGCTCGGGAACTGCAGGCTCCGCCGCGCACAGTGCGCCTGCGCCGCCCCCGCTGGCGCTGTCCCGCCGGTGCTAAA